TTCTAATTTCAATGATTATCATTATTTAATTGATTTGCTATGGGTCATCATATTCTATTTAGATTCACTTTTGTTTTTGGTTATTCAAATATTGATATGTATGTGTGTAGATACGTGTGTGTGTAATTTAGATTGTGTATTTATATGTTTGTTGTATGCATAACGTGCAGGTTTGTGTGTGTGTGTACGTGTACGTGTGCGTACGTGTATGCACCTGGAAACATGAAGTAATAAATAGAATCTATAAGGGAATTTGTTCATTGTTTATTCTTTCATTTTATTGATGTTAATCCAATCCTCAGTAATGTATAATTAATAAATTCCTTGAAATTTGTATTATTAATTCATGAAATTAAACATGTATTCATCTTAATGTGAATATTTAAAGAGTGTAGAGTGAATAAATTACTTGTTATTTCCAGGAGTAGTTGTAGTGCTCATAGTAATCACATAAATATGTAGTTTCATTCAATTGAAATTTATACTGATGACAACGGATGTATAAATTTTTTATGTTAATTAGACATACGCAACATAAAATTCGTGGAATAAAAAAGGTATAAGCAAATCTTACAGTCGATAAGGAATGAATGTATGATTGTGACTAGTTTTGAGCTGTATAACTCGTTGTCTCCAATCACTGATTACAATAATCACTAGGGCCTCTAAAAGGTAGTTTGTAACCACTAACGAAGATTAATCCAATAGTTAATGGTTTCATGGATTGCTAGGACGTCTTGGTTTGACAGTTGTACGTTTTCAGTCACACACTTCTACATTATAAAATATCATGCGTTGGGCGAGAGGTGATTGTTTAGCACACATTATATAAATCTTAATCACTTGAATTGATGAAGATCTTTTACCTCATCAACCGATTTCTCATCTTTACTTAATGCCATGAGTCTAACCTTATTCGGTTATATCAGCATACTTGAGTAAGGCTTTTAAGGCATCTATGATCAAATATTATTCACTGATGAACATCCTTTATTTTTAAAAGTCATATTACACAGCCATAGATCAAAACAGTAGAAATGTTTGTTCAGTATACTCCTCTTTTGGTCGGTGAACAGACACCTTGCCTAAGCCACAGATGACGTTGGTTAGAGTCAATACAGGTTTCGAATCCACGACGGAACATTATCATCGAACACCAACCTACCTGGGAAAATGAGACTTCCAAGATAGGTAAAGTGAACGATGCGTCTAACTGATTCACTCCGTATCATAAGTTCTAACGTTTATGTAGAACAATCCTGAAGCAACACTTTACACTTAGGGGAAGTTATACCCATTCGAAAATGTGTTTTCATTGTTATTCAAAGTGATCAAAGAACTCCATAACTAGCCAATCGACTAAATTAGCTTATCATTTGGTCTAATTCAAATTTTATCTTCATACACTAAAAATGGGAATTTATCACTAGATCTAGTACCTTTATATCAATTTTGTACATAATAGATTCACTTCTTCAAACTCTTTGATTTTCACCATTCCAAATTACAGATAGTTTAATCTGAAAATCTATCTCTCTGTGTCACCTTGTTCGAGGGAATTCACTCTGTATCTGCTCATAATGCAGTAACTGTATATTCAACAGTTCGTTAAACAGTATGAAGTATTTGTGCAACATTTATCGCTAACTAAAATCGATAGCACCATCTGTGAATTGATAAATAGCTGTCTATATAGAATTCATTCATATATTGATTGGTTGAATCTTCCCATTGATGGTTAGGATTGAAATTGGTCAGTTTCTTAGTGGCTTATGTGCATTCTGTGCGGATTGCCTCGACATTACATTAGGTCACAAGCGTTATAAGAGATTAATCAACTGCAGTTCTAAACATCCATCAAAAGATTCAAACAAACAATACAAAAACAAAGTAAAACTCCACCCCATTTCACAAGTTAATCGCTATCTGAACTCAGTAACTAAGTAGATAACGCGATAACGTTTGAAACGAATGGTGTTGGGTTTCAGTCTTAAAGTGAACATCAACTGTGTGATACAGGTACATCTAAATGATGAGTCATAATTAGGACGAAACACGCGTTCTGGATTCCATTACTAGCCACTATCAATCTTTGTTTATAATGTCTATGTAATAGTATACATATTGGTTGTGATGAACATGGTTAAACTGAATTTTATGCAACAGAATTTTATTTAAAACCCATTTTGAATATTTTAATCTCCAAGATAGTAGTAGTAGTAGTAGTAGTAGTAGTAGTAGTAGTAGTAGTAGTAGTAGTAGTAGTAGTAGTAGTAGTAGTAGTAGTAGTAGTAGTAGTAGTAGTAGTAGTAGTAGTAGTAGTAGTAGTAGTAGTAGTAGTAGTAGTAGTAGTAGTAGTAGTAGTAGTAGTAGTAGTAGTAGTAGTAGTAGTAGTAGTAGTAGTAGTAGTAGTAGTAGTAGTAGTAGTAGTAGTAGTAGTAGTAGTAGTAGTAGTAGTAGTAGTAGTAGTAGTAGTAGTAGTAGTAGTAGTAGTAGTAGTAGTAGTAGTAGTAGTAGTAGTAGTAGTAGTAGTAGTAGTAGTAGTATAGTAGTAGTAGTAGTAGTAGTAGTAGTAGTAGTAGTAGTAGTAGTAGTAGTAGTAGTAGTAGTAGTAGTAGTAGTAGTAGTAGTAGTAGTAGTAGTAGTAGTAGTAGTAGTAGTAGTAGTAGTAGTAGTAGTAGTAGTAGTAGTAGTAGTAGTAGTAGTAGTAGTAGTAGTAGTAGTATAGTAGTAGTAGTAGTAGTAGTAGTAGTAGTAGTAGTAGTAGTAGTAGTAGTAGTAGTAGTAGTAGTAGTAGTAGTAGTAGTAGTAGTAGTAGTAGTAGTAGTAGTAGTAGTAGTAGTAGTAGTAGTAGTAGTAGTAGTAGTAGTAGTAGTAGTAGTAGTAGTAGTAGTAGTAGTAGTATAGTAGTAGTAGTAGTAGTAGTAGTAGTAGTAGTAGTAGTAGTAGTAGTAGTAGTAGTAGTAGTAGTAGTAGTAGTAGTAGTAGTAGTAGTAGTAGTAGTAGTAGTAGTAGTAGTAGTAGTAGTAGTAGTAGTAGTAGTAGTAGTAGTAGTAGTAGTAGTAGTAGTAGTAGTAGTAGTAGTAGTAGTAGTAGTAGTAGTAGTAGTAGTAGTAGTAGTAGTAGTAGTAGTAGTAGTAGTAGTAGTAGTAGTAGTAGTAGTAGTAGTAGTAGTAGTAGTAGTAGTAGTAGTAGTAGTAGTAGTAGATAACGGAGGTTTCAGGCTGGAAAAATAGTCTAAAATTGTATTTATTTTAAAGTAATTCTTTAGAGGACTGTCGAATTTAAAGTTTAGATTCAGTGACACTTAATATTGATTTTCAATAAAATCTACTATAAAGTGTTTTCGATACAGTATAAATTTCAGATGTTTTGTGTCAATACTTAGACTGCAGGTATAATTTACATGAGAATGTACATTATTTTGCTTTGTTCTCAAAGCCTGAAAAGCACTTCAGCAAACACACTTTGTTGATGGAGTGATTGATCATTGAATAGTGAGTGATCAATGAATTTAAATAAATCAGTACTACAGGAGATCAGCCACTGGTTGAATAGCTGAGTCATTATGAGAGTGTGTTATGTGATGTGCGTCTAAGTTCCACGAGGAGCATTAATTCCATCAGTATTTGAGGTAAGCCTTGATGATAAGTGGCAATTGGTAAGAAACCTGGGTTCAATGCTTACTGCTGAATAGCTCTAATGAATGGAAAACGTATTGAAAATTATGAGGAGGACACACTTAGTGAACATTGAAGAAGTTCCAGATAACCGCAGTCTAATAATACTAATCACATTATTCAATATCCCATAAAAAATTACAATGGAGAATCCTCAGAACACGTATTCAATGCTGCGAGAAATTCCCATTCAGTATCTAGTTTATTTGTTGAATTACGAAGTCTATTGTGCTTAATGTATGCATATTTCAATGCAATTGTTTGTTGTTTCTCCAAGAATTATGTCAGGGAAGGAACTATGCAAGCCACCATGATAGTTTCACTTCAATTCAACAATAATTTACTTCATGATAGGTTGTAAACTTTTACAAGTGCTTTCATTTAAGTCATGAATCGATTTAAGTTAGAACATCATTAACAGCCTGGAAGCACTGAATAGCCTTTTCGTCCAAGTATGTATGCACGCACGGTCCCGCAAACGGGATCGAAGGTCCTGGATTATTTTCCAGTATGAGAGATTGTGGATTTGCACAAGCGAGGATTTCCATACTAGGACGAAACGGCCACCCAATGCTTCCAGGTTTTCAATGATATTCTAACTTAGATCGGTTCATAATTTCAATAAAATCCACCGATCTCCACGACCCCATACTAAAATATATATACGTTTTTTTTTCTTAATTACTCTCATCTACGAGTTATTTTTCCTGATATGGTATTTTACTGAACAGCATCTGAAATCCAAATCAATTTGTGAATTATAATAATTTCAATAGTTGAAGTCAAGCAAGCACTGGATGGCCGTTTCGTCTTAGTATGGGACTCCTCAGCAGCGTGCATCCACGACCCCACCCCCGGCGAGACCCGAACCCAGAACCTATCAGTCTCGTGAGCGAGCGCCTAACCATTAAACCACTGAGCCGACCTCCAACGGTGTTAATGTCTAACTTCAACCAATTTAATCATAATAACTCTTTGTAAAATTACTCAAGCAATTACTGAATTTCATTTAATGGTTTATTGGATTACCACACTAATTCCCTTAAACTGATGTTCAGTATTTAGGACTGAGAAAAGCATCTTTACCCTACTTCTATATAATTTTAAAACCAAACTTTATTAATTTAATATGCAAATAAATTATTGTAACATTTAGTTACTACCGCTTTACAGTGTGAAAAAAACAAAAAAAAATTTGATACACACATAACACATCAAGCGTAGTTTATGGTCTTGTATAGCACAAAACATGTCTGTATATCACTCTCTATGACAAGGTTAATATTATTAACGAATGTTCTAACGCAATTTGTAGGTCACCACTGATCGATCGATAAGAAGACGTCCATGTTATTTTTTTTAAAAATTGAAATCAATTATTCTACCTACATTTCTAAGATTTCGACGCATCAAATTCTCGCTCACTGATCTTAGGATTACTCGTATACATTCCACAGTAAAATTGTTTTGTACATTCCTATCAAATCTGTGATTAAACCATCAATTGTTGGTACATAATATTCATCTATTTATTTATTTATTTAGTCCATTAGCGAAAAAAAGAAGGATATTTATCATAACAAACATTCAACTTTGAAAGTTTATCTTGCTTTGTGTACACATGTTCGTCAGACCGCCTACAGTTCGAACAACCAGAAACCCCCGTAGACGACCCCCACATATACTTGGTTTGAATGAAATGAATCGTCCACTGTTACGACAAGTGATCAGAAGTCGTCGATCGAATCCAGTCCGTGAAGCATATGTATTAGAAATAAGAGAAGGTCCTGTGGTTAATAACAACTCAAATACAGCTAATACAAGGATGATACCCCAGCCATGGGTTACTGTGCGCGACTATTTTAAGGGAAATGACTTTGTCAGTCTTCCTGTTTCTATTTGCAACACATTATTGAAACACCTTATGACATGTGCCATAGTTGATGATGACCACCGAGTAGAAAGCTCTGAAGATAGTGAAATTGAGTGTACTACTTCACCTTCCCCCAAAGTTGGAGAAGAGGCAAGTTTAACTGAAACATCCGGTGAAACAGCATCACAGGTTGAAGGGGGAGCATCTGAAGGTACGAAAGTCATCAAGAAAGTATCTTCACGTGTCAAACCTCATACCTTCCAGCTTAGTTTATTAAAACCTATAAGAATAGTGTGTGAAGCAACAGGATGTACACTGGAGGTTACGGCACGTAATCCTTTGCCAAAACACACATCTACTAGTTCAGAAGAACCAACACAAACAGTCCAAGCTGATCCTGACAAGCGATGGCTTATTTCAGCTCCACTAGAAGTTCGTAAAAGTAATTCTTCAGGTGGTGAGCATACCTTGGATGGCAGTGGAATTGGTAGTACCACTAATGGAAGTGGTCGACGTCAGTACTCCTGGGAAACACGTGGCACCTTGGAACTACATACGAGTCTGATGCCCAAGCTATTAACATTTCTTGGTAAGTTATATTTATCCTTTAGCAATCCGAAACTAAGATTTGATAGTGGTTTTAGCTGGGAGGGACCCATAGGTTTATGAAATAATAGCAATCGATCACGCGTTTTATTGATTCTTCTTTTTTGTCCAACCGTTTTATTATATATATCTAATAACACAGGGGAACAATATTTTTTCAGTTAGATCTAGAGTCTTTACCTTAATATAGAGCAGCATTTATATTTATTAATGGGAAACATGAAGTTATTCAATGCCACACAGACAATATATAGTTCTATTATCACACCTGATCGATAGTAGTCATGTAGTAGATAGATTGATCAAGTGTATATAAAACAGTCATGTGAGTCGTTGTGGGGGTTCGGTCTCATCTCTTACACATACCGGAAGCCATAAAAATTTGATCCAACTACCCTAGTTTGTGTTCAGACGGATTTTGTAACATAATCTGTTCGTTGACCTGGTCATCAATTTAATAACTTTTATTTTCCTACGTTTTGACCTACTTCGTGTGTTGAAGTATCTATCCAAGTTGTTACTTTTCTCTCATCACAATGAGTATATTTCACCTTACGATTAATTTGTAACTTATTATATTTAGTGATGCAATGTGTTTCATTTTTATCATTGACTCACAAACTGTTTTAATCGGTTTAGTTTCTCGTATATGGTTATAAATATTACTGTCACTAGTGTAAAGCCAGAAGTTCTAATTTAAAGCAACGTTATCGTGTATTATTTCTGGTTAGCATTTTTTTAGCGAGTTAGTTTTCTACGGGATGGGGTCGCTAACCCCATGTCCAACCCTCCTCCTTTATCCGGGCTTGGGACTGGCAGTAGCCCCCGGAGGGACTGCAGGCGGAGTTATATCGTGTATTAGCGTGGTACTTATTCATACAATGGGAATTTTAGTATTATATAGAATATCTAGTTGAGTTAAATTTTTATTTTTACACCTCTAATGTTTAGTTCTACGTTGTTACTGACTGACTGACTGACTCTAATGTTTAGTATCTCAGAGATGTAAAACCTCCATGGTAGTATTTTCACCACTGTTGAGCTTAATCATGATTTCCCCATGAATTTCCAGGGACTGAATCATCTTGGACCTATTGAAATGTAGGTTGAGTGATGATATCATTAGTTGGCATACAACTTGTATAATTTATAGCGGAATATTTTTTTTCAACTGTTTTAAACGTCTGTCTATACTAGATGTGGAACCACAGACCTTCAAGATAATAGAACTAGATTAGTAACCTATAAGTGAGTATCTCACAATCAATCACGAAGCGTAAGTGTATTCATTCTTAATCACACCATCTAATCAATCTACTGTGGTTTTTTTCAAAATCCAGTGTTCATGAGAATCGTTTTGTGTACGATAGGTTTACTTCAACTTATCTCTTTTCAAATTGGATGTTGGTTTTTATTGATAACAGAATAGTAGATTATTGATTTTGAAATCTCTCAACACTACGTGTAATCCACTAACAGAGATCTTTTTTTATATGAACACTGAAAGTTCTAGTGGTGGGTTGTTTAAAATTCAATTCGACTTAAATTTTCGTCCACTGTATAAAATGTTCATCATTAATTGTTTATACACTATTTTCAGTCATTGTAAATCGACTACATTTGCAATTGCCCTCCGAATCAGGCTTTAAGTTAAATCTTTTATTTATTATGTAACCAAATGATTTTGTAACGAGCCTATAATCTAAATGTTTGATCATTGTGAATTTTCAAACATTACAATAGTAATATTTTACCATTCTTTGTAATCTACTGATACATTTATGTGAAAACAAAGTTTATGCTTTCATTTAAGATTTGGACTCATTACTTTATTATTCTGTAGTGGTATCGTGATTTGATTTATTCTTATCAGTATAATACTCATACATCAGTCTGAAAAGTGTATTCTTTTAAAGAGAGTAAGAACAAAGGTTGGTGCAGAATAATATAAGTTCATTTTATTGTCTCGTTTGCCCCACATGTATGGTCTACCGAAAATACATAAACAAGATAATCCTCTTAGACCTATTATGTCAATGGTCAATTCACCATACCACAAAGTTGCAAGATGGCTGGCAGATAAATTAGAACCACTTCGTCAACGATTAGCCACTTATACACTGAAGGATTCATTTGTATTTGCTGATAGCATGAATCACATGAATATTGCTGGTAAGTTTATGGTTTCGTTTGATGTGACATCATTGTTTACAAAAATACCACTTCTTGAAACCATAGACATAATTTGTCAACATCCTGATATCCTACCTCTACCAGCAATAGAATTCAATCGTCTATTACTCTTGTGTACAAAAGATGTTCAGTTCCAGTTCAACAATACTATATACCGACAAACCGATGGTCTAGCAATGGGAAGTCCGTTAGGCCCCGTCCTAGCAGACATTTTCATGGCTAACCTCGAAAGAACCAAGCTCAAAGGAGCGATTGATGAAATCATGTATTATTCGAGGTATGTTGATGATACATTCATCTTATGTAATAATCAACAACATGCAACAAATCTGTTAAAGTTTTTCAATGAAGCTCATCCAAATATTCATTTCACTATGGAACATGAAAAAGAAAACATGTTCCATTTCCTCGATATAGCGATAAAACGAAGAAAGGATGGCACAGTTCAACGCTCAGTTTATAAGAAAGACACATGGAATGGTAATTATTTCAATTTCAACAGCTTTTGTCCAATCAATTATAAAAAGGCGCTTGTCAAAACACTGTTTCATAGGACAGAAAGAATATGCACTGCCGATACAATAGAAGAGGAAATTATGAATGTTAAAAAGTGTTTAAGAAATAACGGATACCCATTGAAATTCATTGAGAAATATGGAAAACGTGAAGATAAAATACCCAAAGAAACTACAGTAAATAAAAAACCTGTTTTTATTCAACTCAAGTTCAAAGGAGATAATGTCACAGGGTCAATCAATATGAGACTAAAAACTGCACTGACAAAAACATATCCTGCAGCTAAATTGATTGTCCTGTCCAAAACGACATGTTCTTTGACACAATCAAAGGTCGACAGGTATCCCTTTCATGTTACCACCAACTGTGTATACAAATTTACATGTACCTGCCAAAGCAGTTACATTGGTAGAACAGAAAGGAGAGCCTACGTCCGATTCAAAGAACATATTCCGAACAGTTTGAGATCAAACGGACTAAAAGCATTTAGCAGCGCTGTCGCAAGACATCTCCTTGACACAGGACACGAAGTCGATATACTGAAGTCCTTCAAGGTGATCAACAAACAATCAAATTCAAACCTTTTGAAATTCGCGGAAGCAATAGCAATCAAACGTTTAAAACCAGATCTTTGTATACAAAAAGAGATAGTGATAAATCTTTCTTTGCCCTGGTAACATTCACCCCACTCCCTTTTATTTTATTTATTTTTATTACGTCATTTCAACTCTTTCTGAATTTTATAATTATATCACTCATAACTGACCAATTTCATTACATAATCGTCTAGTGTGTTTTAATTCCATGATTTCTAATCACTATTTCAATTTTCTGGAACCTTCCCTCCCAAACTCTATATATTCGAAACAAAGATTTTATGACCTCATTAACCCTAACGAAGTCTTCGCTACATCATGATACGCATATATTCATCCTTCATCGCCCTCTATTGTATAAGTATGTCAATATCTAAAATCATGTTGAATTTCAAATAATTTAGGTTGTAAGCAGCTGATGAGAACCTAACGAAATAGAATGAATCCATCTATTATTCTGCACCAATCTTTGTTCTTACTCTCTTTAAAATAATAGACGGAACTATGTGTATGTATTCTTTTAGTTTAGATATGGAGACTAGAGATAATAAAATACCAGGTAATGTTGCACAACGGTATGGACTAATCACAAAGAAAATCATATTTTTGTATTCGATTCTTTCTGACAAATAGGTTTACTTGGTCACCACTTTATTGTAAATAGATTTATTCTTAAGCCAGATTCCATTGATTTTGATTTTATCCCAGAATCACTGAATATTTTGAATTCCAATTATCGAAATGTGACCACCATTTCCATACTTCAGTGTACAAAAATTTGAAGTATACAATTTATTAATTTAACTCATGAATCTAACATCTCACTAGGTACAAGAAGCCTGAATTCAAGTTACAACGTACACTTAACAATTCTAAGGTCAAAATGTTTATTTCCTTCTAAAGTAATACATGCATCGAATTATTGAGTGAAGTCTGAAAAAATAATCCGATAAAAAAATTTTTATTTGAAACTAATACCTTTATATGTCAGGTCATACAACAACAACAAATAGCATTAATGGAGAACATTGAAATAGAAATTCGAACAAGATTAATATGATTCAAGTTCATTGGCACTAAATAAATAATGATGCATTGCACGTTTATTGATAATCAGCTTCAGGGTAACATGATTTATAGTATTTATTACATAGTTATGAAACGATACTTCCACTCTATATTAGGTTTATTCATTCAATGATTGCCAGTAACTTCTATATCTGATATATGTTACTCATCGAACCAATTATCTTTGTAATACCGTTGGAATATTTACACTAAATGTCCACTAAGAACTTCAAATTTAACTAACAATAGCGTTTTTACTAGTTGGTTATTAAATCTCAGCTTTACGAATTCAGAATTCGATAAGATAGTAAATCTATCTCATACTAAATTTTAAGTTCCTTAACATTTGAAACTCAGCTTTAACTGCACATCGAATTTAGGGTGGACTTTCATCAATGAAATCTATTAAGTTCTTCAGGTTTAAAATTCTGTATGAAGAACTTATAACGAATTTATATGAATATTAGAGAAGTAAACTTTTGTCAACATTATGATACGTTATAGGTATTGTTTGAAATAAATTAAATATCTTAGGATTGTATTAAGTTTAGTCAATTTTCATAGATATGATTTGTGTGCAGCTTGAATCAGAGGTGTTCAATTGAGCGTTGGTTACCATTTTTGAATGTTTCCATCACCAATTAAATTATGCTTAAATTGTTCTATTAGTGTGCGGTCTAATTATAATTATTTAGTCACCTTTTTTCTAATCCATACGGTAAAATGTTTCAGGGTTCAGTAATAGGCTATGATTTCGGTTACTTTACATTTATTATTTGATTAGGTGATCTATAAATGGTGCTTTTACATGTGAGGGATCTTAATCATTTTAATTCAATTGTTCATACTGTCATCATGAGTGATTTTCTATGATCCATTCAATGACAGACGCTTCCTATTTGAGTATTCTAAATATAAGTGTTGATGATGGACATGTTTTATTCAAGTCTGATGAATTAGTTTTGGAGGTCATTTTCATTGAAATTTCACAAGATGATTTTGTCTGATTGCTTATGTCACTTTACATTTTAAAACACCGGTTGTTAGGTGGACTTGTTCTATTGATTTTTTGCTTCGAGTAGAGTCCCCTCTTTAAGTAAATTAAAATTGTAGATTTATTTGAGATCATTGTGCTAGACATTTCGATGTTGAAAACGTGTCTAAACTTATAGGTATCATTAGCAAGGTTTGACTTGATAATTTCGAATAAATTGAGCATTGGATGGATTATTATAAATAAATAATAAATTTTTTAATATCCCAATGAGTAGAAAAATCAGATTTTCGGACGTTTCGTGACTTAGTGTAAGCCACTTCTTCAGAGAATAAATAAATAACCAAATCAACATTAATCCAAGTTTATAAAGTACAAACGGAACAACAAGAATATTTTGTTCCGTTTGTACTTTTTAAACTTGGATTAATGTTGATTTGGTTATTTATTTATTCTCTGAAGAAGTGGCTTACACTAAGTCACGAAACGTCCGAAAATCTGATTTTTCTACTCATTGGGATATTACAAATACATTATTCATTTATGTTTAAACTTGGTTATTTGATTTATCTAATATGAATGTAGAAATATTACTCAACTGCAGTAATTCAAATGGTGATTCGAAAGCTTTCTATCAAAGAAATAATTTTAAATCTGTATTCTATTCATGTTCCGTTTCATATTGCTTTGTTAATGATTTAAGTTTTTTTATACCCGATATATAGATGTAATCGGTTTAATTTAAATCTAGAAATCACTTGTAATTGATCTTTCAGCTATTTTTGCTATTTTACTTTGCAGCCGATGTTGCGACACGTTATCGAGCAATTGATTTAATTCCAAAAGTTCAATCACTATACAGTATATCGGGTGAAAGAAGGTTTTTATTTAATTTAAAAGATACTCGATGGGGAAAACGAATTCACATTTCTCAAGTTACAGACCTACATCGTAATGTTATCGGCATTCCGTTAGAGGATTTGGTTAGCTTTCGCTCAAGGTTAGATACGGTGATAAAAAGTTTAGGATTGGAAGATCAATATGCCATACGCTCATCTATCCACAGAAACAGTGAAAATAGATCAACACATAAGCAACAACATGCACCAGTTTCATCTCAAGATACTTCTAATTTGCCAAGTGAATCCGTAGGTGGAGTGAATAGTACAGAAATAGACGAGGAGAACAATCGAATCGACACTAGCAATACACAAAATCGTACTCATGGACGTGAAAATCGTCCTTCACGTACAGGGGTATTCGCACTAAACAATAAGGAAAACAGAAATGCTGGGACATATGATAGTGAATCTGGACAGCGTCGTAACCGTGGTAACAGGTTCGGAAGACGTAGTAATTGGACGAATGGAGGACGTGGAAATCCAATGAAACGAAGAGATAAGAATCAATTATCTTCTAATCAAGATTTAAAAACATCTGATGAAATTGAACACAATGAAGTAAACACAAATTCTAATCTTCAGAATTCACTCGAACCTGTTGTTGAACCGACTCGAATAACGCCTGCAGCTGAGGCCAGTGCATAAGTAAAATATTTTGACTACATAGTTATAATGAGTATTCTGAATATGTTTACACTTATCAGTCTACATGCTATTTGTTTTCTCTGTGCATTAGACAATTTTATAATTATTGTTTTATGTTTGTATTATCTAAAAACAAAACAACAGATGAACTCAATTATTTGTTTTTAAACTTTGAAGTATTTCAAGTTGTATAATTGAACCTCTGAACGAATATGTTTTTCATTTTTTCGGGTTAAACTCATATATTGAGAGTTAATAAAACCAATCAAATTGTTCATTCATTAAAAATATCATTAGATATATATTCTCCCCGTGTTTCATAAATTTGCCTGTTTTTTGAGAGAGAAAAAAGATACATACTACTATTCAACTAAGCATTTTTCTGACTGATCAGTCTTTTATAATTTTAACTATTTCTCATTCCGAAAACTATCATCGTTGTGTTGAAGAACGTGAACATTCTTGAAAACCTTGAAAGTAAGCCTTCAAAGTAATCACTCAATTTTTTTTTACTAGTCACTCTATAGTTATTTAATCTCCGGTACAAATTTAGCTCTGTTGATCAATTTATGAATGGGTTCATCCGGTTTTAGATAGTTGAAGGGAATTACCAGGTAGTTCCGAATGATCGAGTAATTCATGTTTAAACCCTTTGCAAGCTATTGATTTCCCTAGTTTTACAGTCATTTCGAGATAACTAATGACAACTTCTGGTATGAAACAAATTTATTGATTTTGTTAGTAGCATGTATCCAATTTTGAGGTATTTCATATTACGGCTTTTCATTCAATATAAAGCCAAATAGTCAGGCAATATGAAATCAACCATACATGGGTAATTTATTATCTCTTGTTTTTCGATGTAATAAATGATAACTTAATGAAACTCAACCCCCAAACCATAAGTAATAATACCGTATTGAATTTTTAGCTACAAAAAAGTAGTGTGGCCTAATGATTCCACTTCAACATAATAATAATAATAATAATAATAATAATAATAATAATAATAATTATTATTATTATTATTAATGGCTTTATTCAATATTATATTTTGGTACAATATAGAATTCTCAGCACAGGGTATTTCAACAAGTTACTTACGCAAAAAAGACAGTAACAAATACAAAAAAGGTTTAAAAAAACAACCGAAAAACTGTACAACTTTTCAAATTAGAGACATGTTAAGAATGCAGGTTATTGACTAGGTTAACTCTAACAACCTGCTCGTCACAGAGTATATTTGCTAGGTAAGGTATTATGGAACTTTTATACTCTTGCTTGTATGCAGGGATTTTAATGTAATTACGTCTCGTTCTACCAGAAGATATACAAGGAGAAAGATATGGGTGAAGGGGATGGTTAGTATCTAATAAAATAACACCTGCCAAGAGTTTGCATGACAATAAATGTCTATCCACAACCATATTATTTATGACCTCGAAAGATTCACCACACATCTTGCTAACTGCCTTCAGCACTCTCCGCAATACAGCAAGGTCTTTTTTCAAAAGCCCGGGAAAGAATAATGGAGAACAGTAGAGAATAATAGGTAATATGCAAGAATTGACAAATTGTAAGAGTAAATGACGAGTAATCCCAAAAGCATGCAATCTCTTTATGTAGTAAGTCAGACGGAAAACCTTCTTCGATAACAATAAAACGTGCGAATACCAAGAGAGATCAGAGGAAAAGGTAACACCAAGATAAAAATGTCAGTAGACTACTTTTACCTTCATCAGGAAAAAAATGGATTATGGCGAACATTACACTAGTGACGAAATATATCTTACAAAAATTTTGTTTTATAAAATGAATAATTCAATGAAGATAGTTGTTTCTTTTTACTAAAACTACAAAATTGTATTTGTATCTATTTTATAATGAAATGATTAAGGTTTTAGTCGGTGAAACATGTTTAATCATTATAAATTTATCTATTCAAGTAATAATGTGTTATTATCACTGTTGTCTTGGTTACAAATATTCTAGGTTTCGGTATATATATAGATCACCAGTATGTTATTTTAATCAATATCTTGCATACATATTTGTATTATTCATGCAGAGAATGAAATAAAATTTTAAAAAATCATGCAATTCACAGTGAATAATAGTCATCTTATTGAAGTACACAGTGTGTGTGTGTGTGTAACCATTTCAAATTAGAAAAAAAAACATGGATGTATCTGTACTCATTGTTCCAATTAGAGAGAGTTGTAACAAAATAAAACGATCAATATATGTAGGTCATAGAGTATTATAAATAAATCTTGATATTACAAAGTAGTATGAAATATGTATATACATATTTCCGATCACATGACAACAGACCTGAAATTTGGTAACTTGTCTTTATGGTGTCCTATGAAAAAGTTAGTTTCTCAGTCCTGAATATAAGAGTATGATTATCACTGAGTATTTCATATTAATTATCCAAAGCTATCTACATATGTCGTTTGTGAGCAGGTCACTGTAGTACATCCGAAATTACCGGATGAAAAAGCCAAATAAAGTGGAAGTTAGAGCTTCGAATTAAATTCTCAGGGGGAATTATATACTTATATCCAGTGTTTATCCACTAAATGATCGGACAAAGAACACTAGGTTTTGCACACATGTTGAACACTAAGAGGTGGATGCATTACAAATTCACGGAGATGGAGCCTATTCAAATTTGTAATCCGAAAAACTCCAAAACATATATCAATATTACAACGGTTGTTTGTTGATTTGAAGAAGAAATTTCCAGCGCTTAAAACTGAGAATAATTTCAACAGCAGCTTCTTTAAAGATAGTATGACATTAACACATGAAATTACTGGGTGTGGTTATTTTTACTACTGTCGTCAGCGTTCTCGAAAGTGAAGGGTCAAAGTATTATATATATCGATTATGTACCAGGTAATTCAGTTATAGAGACTGTTACCGATTAATGGCATTCTTTGGATTAACCTATAGGACGTATATATCAATTAATCACCTAAAGATTACATAATCGACATAGAACTCATGTTTACTATCCACACACATGTAGATAGGCTCAACATAAACCAGATGTGCTAACTTGAAGAGAATCTGTGGAAATAACGCTTACGCATTCTCAAAATCCTTAGTCCCAGATAAGGAGTGTCTACTGACATTAAACTTATTCTAGATATCGAGAAAGCTGTCCTAAGGATTCGTGTTATGCAGTGTTGATGTTTTCATGCCTTGCAACTCCAATTAACTCAAAATTATTTTATGGCATATCATAGGTGTTCAAATCAACATGATGTTTCTTCAAGTTGTCGACACCCCAGGTGCTTGCATTTGACTGGTCAGGTGCTTCCAAAAGGAACCATGAACAGTTGCTGTTTTAAAATGTGATTGATAAATATTGACTTAAGACACACAGACATGCAGGATAATGTCAAATAAAATAGTCATATAATGATAACGTAGAAGTGATACGCAGAAATCGTAGAACCGAGATATCATACATTTATTTTTATTTAAGATGAAGTTTGAGAAACAAACAAGGACATTGCAAATAACCTCAGAAATGATGTGTCGTAAATATGCATATCAATTCATAATACCAAGAAAGTTAGAATTTTGCATTCCCCCATAGGAAACTAACTGTATATAAAACAATAATTCATGTTGATCTGAAATAATAAACAAGGGACTATAAGCTATTGAATTATGTTTAAGAATCCCCATTATATTAAAAAAAAATAGTTATATGAATGAGGAGTGCTATTTTCAGTGCACTCTTGTTAAGCTCTATACAGTTATCAGTGGAATTTTTTGATTATAAGCAATAACCAATTTCGTTGTAAATATCTAGATTTCGCCCCATTTGGCACTCGTCATCAGTTGATATTCCTTATGTAATTTAAATTTTATGCACATCAGCTACAAACAAATATGATATTAGTCATTGATCTGCGATCAATCTATTGTAAAAGCCTCAGTCCTACAAGAGGTCAGACGTAGCCCTGATAGCTCTGTGGTAATATTTTGGACTGTGAAACTGGATTATTTGTGTTTCAATAGCAAACGGAGCATCAGCTCCCACGAGATTGCAGGTACGGCTTGTTAACAACAGTCACGACGTCTAGGTCCAGAATACCCTGCTATCTACTTCCAACCACTTTGTAAACAAGGGACCATGACTGAATTACCTATTGAGTAATAATAGTTAGCCACAGAAGAAAATATAAAATAAAAAAATATTTCTATCCCTTGTGACAATTGCGCTAGCTTGGTAAATATTATATTTTCCAATATGATTCGTTGACACTGGCGAAGCGAATTGACGCAAGCGATATAGGTATTTTAGTTCGTAAATAAATAAATACTAATTGAACAGTGAATGCATACACATATTTACAGATACAATGAGTTCGTGCGACTACTACTATGCTAAGACAGGGTAGAAGGATCGGAAATGTGAAACTTTTACTGCATAAATTATCTAACAGTTGGTTTATGAGATTTTTATATTTTGACTATAGACATCTAATTGATCCATTAATTGTTCTCATATATTTTTCTTATTATAATTACTGTGAGTTGATTGTTAAATCTGTCATTCAGATTTGTATCATAATTGTCCTGATTTTGTACATGTGGTGTGTTTTTTTGTACTGATGATGAGTCATTTAGATAATCATATAACTTTCAAGTTTCCTTTGTACTGAACAACTAACATGTTTTAAACAGGAACTTATTTAAGGGTATGAAATTTACTTAAAAATCTCCCTGTCCCCCCTACCATTAATTGGTACTCCTTTTCCATCAATCAAAAGCCGGTCAATCAAACACCTATTATATAATTTATAAAAGTAGTGAGTTTGGTTTGGCAATATCAGACCTAGTCAGCTTTGTCTATTCCAAATAGTGAAACTGGTATGATTTCCAGAGAAATGTTCGTTTTTGTAGGATTTTCGACGGAAGCAGAACTCCTAAGATAACTGAGAGCTTATAAGAATGCGACTTTCTGCCATTTGATTACACGAGACAGTCATTAAAATTCGAATGATTCTTATATAAAATGTGTCTGTAAAAGGGTTATACTCAACGACCAACAAATCAAGCGACATAAGGGTTTGTTTCGAAATAAATTCTTTATCCATAGGTCTAGATAGCCTGTTGGTAATGGTAGCTAATCCTTCATATTTGTTCTGCTGATAACCTTTTATGGAGTATTAAAATGGTCAGTGAGTCATGATCACGAGTTTCTGCTTATTAATTATGAGAAAGACCCTAGATTTCGTCATTTGACAACCGAGCAGAAGAATACGATTCGTCTTTCATTGATGTCACAGCCTTTTCGTCGTCGATTTTGTCTATGAAAATTACGGGGAGAAAACAAACGCACACAGTGTTTTCAACATGCGATGACGTTTATTTGAATGACCGAAACTTCCAGGTCATTCCAACCTTGGTTATTGTCTCCACTAAGTAGGTGATTTTAAGATTTCAGCTACAGGTATCATTGAGGTTAAAGGTGCAGTTGACGTACATCGTGAAGAGGATGGTTATAGTGAATACCACTTCTCTTAACCAGTAGATCTAAAAAATGTAGATCTTCGATTTTCAGATGTCATAAGTATAGTGTGAGAACTTTTCTAGTACAAAAGTGTACAATAATAACAAGTGATAATATGAGGACGAGCCAATGACAATGGAGAAAACTGCTTTCAAGATTTGTAAAAATATAGAATAGGGACGAACATGAAACAGTCATGACTAATTTGCATTCAGTTCTTAGTCAATCAGAAAACAGTTATTTTTCATATGGATAGTTTAAAAAGAAGGAAACATTAATATCATATAGCAGAGCGAAATTTACGAAATTAGTGAATTCATGGGTTACTGTGCATTTAATTAAAAAATGAATAAAGATTACCCGTCATCTCGAAACCTAAATGGAATAAATCGAGTTTTAGGAATCTCACATTATTCTTGATAAGGATTACGATTTACACGAACTGATAACCGCTA